AACCCCCATTCCCTGTTTTCCCCTCTGTGCCACTAGGGGGGAGGAGGGAGAAAAAAAACGGGATCAAAGTTAAGCCCGGGAAAGGAGGGAGGGGTGAGGGAAAGATGTTTTAAGATTTGGTTTTATTTCTCATTACTCCTCTCTGAGTTAATTGGTAATAAATTACATTTTCCTTTAGTCGAGTCTGTTTTGCCCATGAAGGTAAATGTTGAGTGATGTCCTGTCCTTATCTCAAAGCCAGAAGCCTGTTGTTTGGTTTTTTTTCCTCTCCTCTCTCCTGTTCAGTTAAGGAGGGGGAGTGATAGAGTGGTTTTGGTGGGCACCTGGCATTTTGGCCAGGGTCAACCCACCAGAGACTTACATTACTCAGATTAGTAGTCCATGTCTTGAATACTGCATCCTGCAGTCCAGTATAAACAGGTCTTTGCAGCACATTTATGTATATAGCACATGTGTGCAACGTTATTGTTTCCATCTTGCCGTTGAATCTTGCCTTTTGTTCACTCTTCATCAGACTCAAAGTTTCCTGGACCATGATTTGTTTCAAATTGTTAACTTCTCTTTTCCATGGCACAGGTCTGCCCAGGAGGCTGCGATCTACCAGCCTGCTGTGGAAGGGCAATACGCAAGACGCTCTGGCTCTCCTGAAAGATGATGTCTTGGTTGCTGACCCAGGAACCAGGTCAGATTTATTCACTTATGAGCTTTTGGTCTGGGTTTGTGTTCTCCACTGATATTAGCCCCACCTGCAGTGTCCATGGCCAGTGGATAAAAGACAGCCATTCCAAAAGGACGCTTCAGCCATCTACCCGTACACCTGTCAGGCTGGAAAGAGTGACTGTTGGAAGTGCCAGGGGTTTTTTTAATGTGTATAGAGTCTGAGTGGGAAGCCCAGGTGAGGCAAATGAAACTACTATAGTTAGGTCCAATGAGCCTTAAATTGTGAAAGATGCAGATTTTCAAAAGGGAAAAGGAATGTTAATGTTAAATCATCATAGATTTTGCTTAAAAACATGCCATGTCTGTAGTGATTTGCAAGTCTCTAAATTATCTGTAAGTTCTACTAATGTTTGTAACAACTTATATAGCTGGTTAAGTGTTTGTTACCTGAATTGTGAAGACTCAAAGATATGAACAGGATCCAGTGGGGAGCAGGTGAGGGAAAGGGTTCAGACTAACTGGGAAAAACCTTTTGAAGTTTGCAAAACTTTTAGGGAATAGAATTACATTCTGAAATATTTTTCCTAGGGTTGCTGAGGATTCACCATGACTTGAAGTTTGCAAACTTAAAAAACTCAATCACTTGATCATGGCAACCTTGTATTAGTTCTGTCCCGTGTCATGTAGAAGACTACAGCAGATGGTCCTTAAAGGATTTTAAGACTTTATTGCCATCATCTTCTTTTGTATTTATATTCTGCTCACCATTAAGATACATAAGGTTATTCACTCATAGTCTCTCCACCACTTACAACTTGACATCTTGATAGTTTTAACTCTGTCTCTTTCTGAATATACTTCACAGCTAACAGATCATTCTTCCTAAAGGAAATTCACATCATTGGTATAGAAATTTTAAAAATTTTGGGGTTATGTTGAAATTCAGCTCCTTTTCAGATATAAAATTTTAGATCCAGAATATATATATATATATATATTTTCTTGGGGAAGAAATATATATGTTCATCATGCTTTTATTCAGCTAGATGGACTGGAAATCATTGAAGTGAGTATCAAATTTATGACCTAAATAGGCCTCAGTGACATGTGTGGCTTCAGAGAATTAAAAAAACCACCATCAAACAAGGTTGAAAACATGAATTTTGAAATTGTGTTTGAAAAAAAGTTGCCCATTCATGTCTTCATGCCATTAAGCTTGATTCAAGTATAAAGGCTCTGAATCATTCAGGTTTCTTTAATGAGTCAACATTGCTGGATGCTGCTTTGTAGACTTTTAAGTGCTTTTAAAGTGCTTTTACCATCTTAAGGTAGCTTAGGTGCTTAAGTGATTATACCATGTTAAATCTCCAAAGAGGCTTGCCTGGGATTTTGAGACCTTTAAGGTAAGCACCTGTAGCTCTCAACTCTGCTCTTAAAAAGAATGGATATATTCTTTGGTGCACAATCTTAAACAATAAACAGGATAGGCAAATACATAGGGTTTTGCATAAAGTTGTGGGTTTTTTTACTTTTCCATCTCCAGCTCTCTTTCTGTACATAGTGGTTAAATAGCTCTGCTGATGTTCCTGTAAGAAATTTCTCTTTTTTGACCTAACAACAAATCAGGGCAGCAACATTCAGTTTTTCTCTGTCCCTCCTCCGTCTCTGCTCTCTCTTTAGCATGTAAACTGATAAAATAAGAATTTTTCCCTGGAGAAGAGAGACCTAGACACTGTTTTTGCACAGTCTGGATCACTGAAGTAAGGCTGACCCAGATATATTCTTCTTCCTTTTAAGGTGCCACTACAGCAATTTGGCCTTCTCACTGATGGCGCACGTGTTAGCTGACCATGCAGCTGAGGGGCAATACCAGCGCTGGATCTCAGAGAACATCCTGGACCGCTTGGGCATGGAGGACACTGGCTTCGACATCACGCCACCGATCCGCTCCCAGATGGCGGTGGGTTTCTACAGCAGCCGGCAGCCGGCCCCTCTCTATGACCTTGGCTGGTACAGGCCCTCTGGCCAGATGTACTCCACAGCTGCTGACCTTGCCAAGCTGGCAATGGTCTTCTTAGGCACCTACCACCGTCGTCTCCTAGAGCCTGACACACTGAAGACAATGCTAACCCCTCTGTTTAAGTGCTCCACTGAATACTTTGCTAACAAGACTGGCACACCCTGGGAGATTAATGAGCAATTGGGATATGACGTCATCAGGAAGGATGGAGACCTCGATGGTTATTCAGCTACCTTCTCTCTTATCCCCAAGCTCCGCCTGAGCTTCATTGTGCTGATGGCAGGGCCTAGGCCTCAGGGTGGAGATATTGTGACTCAGACATATGATCATCTTATTCCTGCCATGGAGACAGCATTCAGAGAGGCAGAGAAAAGCTTGATTCCTCCTCCAAGTCCAGGCCCTTATGTTGGCTACTATACCTATTCCAACCTGACTTTCTATGAGATTAAAGTTGGACCTGGTGGGGTGCTGGTCATGCAGCAGTTTGGGCCACACGTGGAAGAGCTGATTCCTGAAAAGTACCGGACAATCAAGCTCCACCACCTGGAAGATCGCGTTTTCCAAGTTGTTTTTGACAAGGAGTTCCCATGTGTTCTGCACCTGGGCTCTGCCTCCATCTCACTGGAGACCCAAAATGGGCAGCTCTTTAACTTTTATCCATTTGATCGCAAGGGTTTGTCTCCTGGCTTTGATGCACCAGGGCTGAACACATACAATGTGGTGCGTGTACTTCGTAAACCTGTATTCTATAGCTAAATATCCCCTCTACTTTTCTGACCACTTCTGGGAGCTGGCTCCAAATCTGTGTCTTACCAGACTTTCCTGTCTGTGTGGCTTTATGGATGCCATTTAAAAGGGAAAGATGGTGGCAAATTACTCTTTTGCCTAACAAATATGTCATATCCTACTTTTAAAATGTCTTTAATTACTTGCGATCCCTTGCAGTGCACAACAGGCCAGCTAGCCACTGGGGATGCCTGCAGGAAAAAAAAAAGAAGGTGGGAATGTGCTGGAGAGATGGCATTTGGATGCCATAAAAAGAAGCCGAGCAATTCAGTCTCCACACTTACATTGTCTGTTTGATGGCCATTGTGGTGATTGACTGGTATCATCAAAGTGCTGAGAATTTTCCGCGTCTCTCAGAAAATATATCTTCTTCACCCCAAGGGTTCTTCCAGGGCTCTTCAGGAGCCCGTCTACCATGAACAAGATTCCTCACCTGGGTCTGCCAAATCATTATGTGCTAGGAAACGGCATCAGCCTGTTACCAGGCCTTGCTTGTGATACCTGGGAAATGAGGGTCCATTTCTTTCCTGGGTCACAGCAAGAAAACTGTGAAAAGAACAGACAGGAATGTGGTTATGTATAAGCTCCATGGTTTTCTGCAAAAGCGGTGGTAACACAAAGGATATTGTAGCACTTAATACAGAAGCTGAACCTTACTCCTGTGAACATATATGGGTATATTCCAGCTAGACTCAGGTTTGCGACTATCTCAGTATAGAGGCAAGTGTGTGAGTGTGGTGTTTAAATATAGGATGTGTGGGGACCTGTACATGTGTTTTGGGCAGAGTGTCTGTATGGATACATACCCATTGTGTTTATGGGTATGAGGGAGGACGCTAAGGGAAAGTGCATTAGCCTGGGGAGTACTACATTCAGGACAAATGCACCTGCAAGCAATCTGCAAAGCCACAGGTGCATTTTCTTCTGCCTTCTTGTGCCCACTCAATGCCAAGGCAGGCAGGACAGATGATATGCCATTAAAGGCCAGCACTACATCACTGTGATGGGAACAGTGTCAGGCAGGAGTGCCAGACAGGGCAAGTACCACTGACTGAGGCTTCTTGGCTCCTGCAATGCTCCTTCGAGTTTAGGAGAGTATTGCGATTGCGGCCCTAACTAGAGTCTGAAATAAAAGCAAGCAGAGGGTCAGGGCACGGTAACTCTTACCTTAAAATAGCCTAGCTGCAGAGTATGGCAACGGCTGTATAGCATGGAAATCCTGAAGGAAATGCAAAAGGGTAGACATACGATCAAAGACCCTTCAAAGCGTGTGTTCTCCCATAACATAACTGGTATGAGGTTGCAGAATGACCTCCTTCTGCTGCTTGTCCACACAGAGTCTTGAAAGTGAATACGTCTCAGAGAGGACGAGAAAATAAATCTCCATGCCTCACTTCTCTCTTGTTGTCTTTCACTGTTTTCACTCTGTGTGCAGTTCTTCAGCTTCAGTTTTCAGTAGAGAGACCATCACTGAAGGTCTAGAAATCTATGATTCAAAAACTCGGTTCCCTGCCTTTTATTTTAGACAATTTCATTTCCCTGATAAACATACGAAATAACGTAAACCTTGCCTTACAGGCAGTCATGGTTGCTGCTATATTGGTTTCCTCTGGACTTTGTATGTGATTACACTTCATACCCTGCACAGCCTCATATGTTCAAGTATTTAATCTGGGCTATGGCAAGAGCAATAAACTCTGTGCAAATTTTTGCTGCTGTCGTGTGTGATCATGCCCAAAGGTACACGTGCAGGCAGATATGTTGCACTATGGTCGATTTCCTGTAGAGGTGCCTACACTCTGTCACAGCATGTCTGATACAACAGTGCTTTCTGGGCTTTGAGCTCACAAGATGTAATGTCTGAATGCAAAATATTTGAGCGGTTTAACCCTGCTCATTTTGAGTGAGGGCTAAGTGTCAGTTTGGGGCTGTTCTTACTTTCTAACAAAAGATGTGATTGTTTACCCAACAGCTACCTTTAAAAGCTTCTAAGAAAAATTAGGATTTATATCCCATGTCACTCACTGGTCAGGAAGAAACACCACAATGGACCGTCTCCATCTGTCTGATGGAGAGGTTAAGATCTTTTACTTTTCCATCAGTAATGCAGACACTGACAAGCCTTTTTGTTTCCAGTGAGTCACTCTCAAATCTGTACACTGACACTTTTTGGTGTTCTTGTTCATTCCCATAACAGCAAAGTACAGCTCTTTGCCATTCGTAGTGTGAACCCACACTTGCAGTAGAGCTCATCTCACCAAATCTTGGGTCACACTTGGAAGGTAAACAAGAGCTTCCTACACTGCCTGTTTGTGTAGGCAGGACAGTGTCCTTATCTGGTATGGAGAGGAGAAAGAAGAACTTGGGATGACTGTACAGAAGATTTGGCTGTGTGTGGCATGCAGGAGGATAAGGTGGAGTTTTGGAGGACTTCCAGTCATCTGTGGAGAGCAGCCAGAGTCACAATGCTGAGTCAAAGCTACAAACAAAAATGTCCAATTTCTTTCTGTCACTTCATGCCTAATAGTATCCTAAGAAGAGCAGAACCAGTGTCACGGATTGAGGCTGGGCAAGCCGCTAATGAATGACAGACTCTCTCTATTAACCCCTCTTCCTTCCCAAAAGGGAAAGGGAGAGAGAACAAGAGAGAGACTTTACGGTTTGGAAAAGAAAACTAAAACAGCTTTAATGAAATATTAATAATGAAAAAAAGATAATAATAAGAAAATAATGAAATATATACAAATAGATACAAAATCAATACCGAACACAGCTCCCCCCACCGTGATGACAATACATCACCACTGACACTGCAGGGCTGGCACTGGGACATTCCCAGGCTGGACTCGGCAGCAGACAGGAACAAAACATCAAATTCTGCTCTAAGGAGCACTGGTGAAAGCATGTAATATTGTAATAGTGTCTGTTAAAACTGTATTTAATCTACAAATTGAAACGTTCTGGGACATTAAGAACAAGATTAAACTGGCAAAATATAAAGACCTACATTTGAGCTAGTCCCTTTAAACTCCTTTCTACTCAGCGAGATTTAACATCTTTGTTGGTGACATGGACAGTGGGATCGAGTGCACCCTCAGCAAGTTTGCCAATGACACCAAGCTGTGTGGTGTGGTCGACATGCTGGAGGGAAGGGAGGCCATCCAGAGGGACCTTGACAGGATGGAGAGGTGGATCCATGCAAACCTCGTGAAGTTCAACAAGGTCAAGTGTGAGATCCTGCACCTGGGTTGGGGCAATCTCAAGCACAGATACAGGCCAGGCAATGAATGGATTGAGAGCAGCCCTGTGGAGAAGGACTTCAGGGTGTTGGTGGATGAAAAACTAGATATGAGTCAGTAATGTGCGCTTGCAGCCCAGAAAGCCATTTGCATCCTGGATTGCATCAAGAGAAGTGCGGCCAGCAGGTTGAAGGAGGTGATTCTCGCCTGAGACCCCACCTGCAGTGCTGCGTGTATTTCTGAGGCTCCCAGCACAAGAAAGCCATGGACCTGCTTGAGCAGGTCCAGAGGAGGGCCATGAAGATGATCAGGGGACAGGACCACCTCCCTTAATGAGGACAGGCTGAGAGAGTTGGTGTTATTCAGCTTGGAGAAGAGAAGGCTCCAAGGAGACCTTACAGCGGCCTTCCAATACTTAAAAGGGGCCTGCAGGAAAGGTGGGGAGGGACTCTTGATCAGGGAGTGTAGTGATAGGATGAGGGGTAACAGTTTCAAACTGAAAGAGGGGAGATTTAGATTAGATATTAGGAAGAAGTTCTTCACTGTGAGGATGGAGAGACAGTGGCACATGTTGCCCAGAGCAGCTGTGGATGCCCCCTACTTGGAAGTGTTCAAGGCCAGATTGGATGGGACTTTGAGCAACCTGGTCTAGTGGAAGATGTCCCTGCTCATGGCAGAGGGGTTTAGAACTAAGTGATCTTTAAGATCCCTTCCAACATAAACCACTCTATGACTCTGTGACTCCATGATTCTGTGATTTAATGACTCTAGTCAGTAGAGAGGATTCATCTTGTCTTGAAGCACATATTTGGAATAAGTTGATGAATCACACTCTATGAATCCCCAGCTTCCAGTTAGTTGAGATGGACCCAGCCTTCACTATGACAAGCAACTCTTCTAGTTACAAGTGAAACACTTTCATAATCTGCCTGCCAGGTCACTGGCCAGTTCTCAACTTATTGCATCAACATTGTCCTGAAGACCTGCAGTTCACATGGTGATGTTTGTTGTCGTCCCATGCTAACATAACCTTAGTTAAGACAACTTCCCTTTTAGAACTCCACCTTCTGGAATATTAGCTCAAGTAAGAATGATCTCAAGCTCCAACCTTCAACTTACATTTTGAAAACAGCAATTTATCCCTACATGCTTCATTTTTTCATACTTATACTTCTCCTCAACCAGAGCAATGTGACAACGTACATATCAACAAATATTTAAGTACTTCACAGTTAGCAGGGAGGCTTCAATATAAATTGCTATTAGGAGTGATTTTCACTCTAAGTAAGGTCATGTATGTTTCAAAATGAAAAGGCTAGAAGCCTGTTTGCAAGTTTAATCTTTTTTTGTTCATTCAATTCTTCCTTTATGAAGAGCCTGACATGTCATGATTCAGTTTACAGAGCTGCAGTTCAGCAGTCAAGATGATAAGAGATTCCAGAAAATCTCCAACATTGTCTTCAGAGAAGTGAGACAATCTCCATTTACATCTAATAGGTGAGGTTCTGGCTTGATGTGGCAACGTCTCTCTGTAGGGTTCATCCTTGCAAACATAACAGTAGTATATCACCAGCAAAGACAACCCCTACTTTAGTTCACCAGGCAAAATCCTGTGTTTGCATGAAAGAGCTCTTAATTTCAGCCCTGTCTTACTTTTGTGCTCCTGACCTTGTGACTGTGGAGGACACGCTCTGCGGGCAGTTTCCAAAATCAGTAAGAGACATAGCTACT